GGAAAACATCAGCCCTACACATATTATTGTGGGAAAATTCAACTACCATTCCTTCATCGCCTTAAAGGAAATAGGGGGAATTCAACTAGTATATCAGTTTCTCTTCTCTTCTGATTTGTCCGCAATCTGAGCCACCTTGTGAACCTGGTACAGAGGCGCGATGCATCCCATTGACTGGTAGACTTTTTTTTCAACAATTCTGATAATTATACTCATTTATCATAACTTTGACGCAAAATGCACAGATTTACCTTTTCTTAGGACAGATAACGTTGATCATCCATAATCAAGGTAAGCCGACATAACCTGTCCAGTGGGCCCGGTAACTAAGGCGATAGACGCAGAGAGAGAGAGAGAGAGAGTAGATAGAAAGAGACCGAGGGGGGTGACGACATCTAAGTCAATAGGACTTGGCAGAGTTTCATTATTGAGACGATCTACAAGTCGAAGGTTCTCATTAAAGAGAAGCACACAGCGGTGTGTGAGACCTATTTTCTGTCGTCATAGCACTGAGAACTTGTGCACACAAGGTGCAGTGTAAACATGTGAGTGTATGCTATGTCCGCATCAACACCAAGTGTTAATTGCCGGTCCGTCAGGAGGTCGGCTGAAAATGTACACAGGTCGCCCAAGCCCCGTTTCATCTGCTCTTTCAGTCATCATGACAGGGGAATACAGAATCATTCGGTTTATGGGCCAGCTTTAGAAAATGCCATATTCAAAGGTGCGCGCCTTAATTAGGCAACAGACAGAAAAGCAAATAATCAGAATGATTCATATACACTTGCACACGAGACCACATGCAATGCGAGCCCCATGATTTGCGCCCATTGTTCTCGCATCCTCTCATCACACCGTTACTGATACAGGTAGCAGTAACAGTAGTGGTGGTGGTGGTGATGATGGTCGTCGCTTTGATGGTGTTGCCGGGGTTGCCGGCATAGCTATAGCATAGTTGGTGGTTTGCTGTCCAACTCAAGGGTTGACTGACGACTTGTCTGTAGGGGTCATCAAAACGGGTGTCCTCGAAAGGGGGTTCTCAGGCCTCGTTTGCTGGCCGGTTTAGCAGGGCCCGACAAGGGAAACCGTTTCACTGTGCATTTCACGAGTCTGTAGCGGCATCGACGAATGCGTTATTTCCAGACTCAGATTACTTGGAAGTCGGGTGGTTGCAGCGATGGCCATCTTGGCGCCCCGCTCATCTCCAGCACCGCGAGAAATGGCTCGACGCAAAGGGATAGATACCAGCAGTAGAAAAGCCATTGTTAGCGTAGCCTTCCAAATTCTGCAGAACGAAGGTCTTGGATCCAGATGGGCTGTTTGTGTCTTGAGTAGCCGAGACAAGTCTCAACGCTCTTGGCCGGATGCTAACAGGCTGGTCAAGATTTGAAGAGCCCGCAAACACTGGCCTGGAGAACGGATATCAAGTTCACTATTCTCTTATTTTTCGTGTTTGAGTAGAGTTTCGAGATTTACTGGTAGTCTCGAAACTCTACTCAAACACCGAAAATAAGTAACGTAGTCGAGTGTTATAGCAGTCGTGGCAATGTGGTTGAGTGGTTAAGGTGTGAAGCTCCCATTCTACACTGTCACGGTTCGACTCCCGCTGGGGACGTTGCTAAGA